TCTCTACAGGTTATGGGCCCAGGAGGACACGAAGACCGTGAGTGACGTCAACCTCCTCTTCTTCACCTTTCTTGTCACGACGCCATTAACTAACAAGACTCGACATGGCTCAGGTGAGGAACATTGAAACTCTTAATAAAGAGAATTATGACACGTGGAAAATGTTTATGGAAGCGTTGCTGATTAAGAATGACATGTGGCAATATGTGAATGGAACGAGCGTGAAACCCGAAGCTCAAGCCGAGAACGCGGCATCGACCAATGCAGTAAAGGCATGGGAACAGGGAGATGCAAAGGCACGCTCGGACATTATACTCTCGATCAGCGCCAGTGAATTGAAGCAGGTCAAAGGGTGCGCCACGTCCCGTGAAGTGTGGCTGAAGCTCGAGAGCCTATATCAGTCCAAAGGGCCGGCGCGAAAGGCAGCCCTCTTGAGGCAATTGACGACGCTTAAAATGCAGAGCGGTGGCGACGCACGCGAGCATCTTCGTCAGTTCTACGACCTGGTAGATAAGATCGGTGAAATTGGCGTCGAAATCGACCAGGACTTGTTATCGACCCTGCTGGTGATCAGCCTTCCGAGTGATTTCGACAACTTCCGTTGTGCGATCGAGTCACGTGACGCCCTACCGTCCCTGGAAGTACTTCGCGTAAAGATTGCGGAAGAGGCGGACGCGCGAAAGGGCATTACGCGAGACTCTGCGACAAACGCGATGTTCGCGGGAAGACACGGCAAGAAACCTCAAAAGAAGCCAAAGAATCCGAGCGGAAGTTCGAACGGTAGCGGAACGTTTAAATACAAGTGCCATAAATGCAAGGTTCTCGGACACAAAGCCGCCGATTGCAAAAGCGGGAAGACAGACCAGCCCACCGCCCAGAGTACGACGGATACGACCATGCTCTCGTCCGATGCTTACGTTACCGGTTCCGTCGAATCGAGCAAGTGGTGCCTCGACAGCGGTGCGACATCCCATTTCTCTCACGATGTACGTAATTTCGAATCCAATATGACTGCAAGAGTCGGAAGACTGAATCTCGCGAACAAAGAGTCAGCACAGATCCGCGGGGAAGGCACGGCTCGCCTCAACGCGAATGTGAAAGGAAGAGATAGACGAGTTTCTCTACAAAATTCGCTATATGTCCCCGACCTGCGCATGAACCTACTTTCCGTGGGCAAGATCACGGAACACGGATTCAAAGTGACATTCGACAAAGAGAGGGCACTCGTAGTCGATCAGAAGAGGAATGTGAGATTAGTCGCAAAGAAAATTAATGGTCTTTACGTCGTCGAAGAATCTACTGATCGAGCCGCCACCGATCAGGGAGCAAGCATTGGGTGCATTACTGAATCCGAAGAGAGCTGGCACCGAAGATTTGGCCATCTGAACCAGCGTGATCTCCAAGAAGCGGTCCGTCGGGAACGAGTGAAGGGCGTAACGCTGGGGACCACCATGAAGGACAGCTGCGAAACTTGCGTCGAAGGAAAGATGGCTAGGAATCCGTTTCCACTCAGGTCCGACAGAACCACGGAGCCATTGGACCTGGTGCACACGGATCTATGCGGTCCCATGCGCGTAGCATCGCTGGGCGGAGCTAAGTATATCTTACAACTCATTGATGACAGGAGCAGATGGGGACAGATCTACCTTTTAAAATGTAAATCCGACGTTTTTCAGGCCCTAAAAGACTACGTCAATATGTTTGAGAGACAGACTGGGAGGAAAGTCAAGTGCATACAGTCCGACAACGGAAAGGAGTTCGTCAACGCCGCCATCGACGCCTTTCTGAAAGAACGCGGAATCGCCAGAAGACTAACCGTTCCATACAGCCCTCAACAAAACGGGGTAGCAGAAAGGAGAAATCGAACTATCGTCGAGATGGCGAGGTGCATTCTGTTGCAGTCCGATCTCCAACCACAATTCTGGGGCGAAGCGGTTAACGCGGCAAATCACATACGTAACCGTTGCCCATCGAGATCGTTAAACGGACTGACCCCGTTTGAAGCGCTGTCGGGACGGGCCCCTGATGTCAGCTACTTTAGGGAATTCGGAAGCCGTGTACAGGTGCTGAATAATAGCCCCGGGCTTGGAAAATTCGCGTCACGGTGCATCCCAGGGATTTTCGTCGGGTACGACGACACGTCGAAGGGGTATAGAATCTGGATTCAAGAGAGCGGGAAGATTATCATTTCGAGAGATGTCAAGTTTCTACACACCGCGAGGAGTTCGAAAGAGACGTATGAAGATTTTCGACCGATCGCACCGAGAAACGCTCACCCCGGCGACGAGAATCGCAGCCCGACTCACGAATATCTTGAGATCGAACTCAGGCCGCCCGATGACACGCAGCACCCACGAAGCGACACCATCATTGAAGATGTCGCCGAAGCACCCGACGATCCGTACGTAACAGCGGAAGAAGACAACGAGACCCACTCCCAGGAATCTGTCGACCCAACCGAGAACGGACAAGACAACGAGACTCGTCGCCGAGCCCCGGGAAGACCCAGAATCATTAGGTCAGGAAGCAGGGGGAGACCTCGGAAGGAGTATCATCATCACCTCGAAGCAGCCGGATTGTTGGACGAACCAATAGCTCAGTTAATGGAGATCCCCATGAAGCAGGCAATGTCTAGTCCGGAGGCCGAGGACTGGAAACTGGCGATGATCGAGGAGCTGAGGTCGATTATCAGAAATGAAACCTGGAAGCTGATAGATCCACCGGACGATCAGGCGGTCATTGGGAGCCGCATGGTGCTTCGAAATAAGATGAACCCGAATGGAACGATCGAGCGTCGAAAGGCCAGACTGGTGGCTCAGGGATTCGATCAAAAGCCCGGGATCCACTTTAATGAAACCTTCG